TACCTTCGATTTGAGGTGATGATCAACGACAGTTTCGGTGAAACTGTCGCATCCTTCTCGCTCGATCACCTCCGAAACTGTGCAAGTCTAAAACAGCATTAAATGATTAATTCGTAGTTCTCATCCAGTTCATTTCAATACAATCCGAGCAATTTAACATAATACGATTATCATTGATAAGTCGGCCTCACAGGTTACCAATATTCGATACCAAATATAGCGAGTGAGTTTCAATGGTGATAAAATATTAATAGAGTATCAATGATAATACAGCACCAAACATCAGCGTAGTTCAGCAACTGAACTGAACTCAAAGTTTGCGTCAAGCTGATCATTGCTAACAATAGTTGTTCTCTTATTATATATTCCTTTATCTACGGAATCATATATCTATCAAACGATATGATACTAAATGACATGAACAATTGGAAAATTACTTGAACCTAAAATGTCTACGGCGCAAATCCGACTTTCAAGTGAACGAACTAAAATCCTGAGTAACATATATAAAGATGTAATACGCGCCACAACTACACGGCACGAAACATAAATGACAAAACTAAGTGAATACCGAATGAGTCAGGCAGTCATAGTGACATGATCTGTAGTGATCAATTGATATGGAACCATTAATAGATCGATGAAATTCATGAGTGTACATTTATGATCAGAACGATGTGATCAACGAAGCATACACAAGAAAGAATCGACATTTTGCCAAAGTCGTTCTCCACGATCTTAGAAGCTGTTTCATTTCAGAATGCGNAAAAAAATTGGGCGTACTGACTCTACAAGCGGATATAATGCGGGACATGGAGCGAATCTCTTAGATTATTAGAAGAAAATAGAATTCCATCGAAAATGAAAAATGGAATTCATAAATCAAACGAATATCAAATGAAAGCAGTCATACAATTTTTGTAACTTAATAAAAAGTGATTTAAGCCATCATGGTGGTGTTAGATGAGCTAAAAATCGATGGACAGATGGGGTGCTTGATTACCTTATCAGTCGAAATAGCATTGTGATGACTGGTAAGAAAGAAAATAGAACGGGAATATAGGAGAGAGTAGACATGCAGAAGTTTAATGAATGTCGAGTATCATGCTTCAGATGCGAGCGTGTGTAGGTGTACACGTGCGTGTTTAAAGCATTGTAAACATGGAACGTCGTTTGACGTTTTTGACACAGTGCGTCCAGAAGCCTGTTGCGAAATTCCAGTGTACTGATAGTGAGTAAACAACATCGTAAAAAGTTTTGATCTCTGATCAATTATTTGACATTGCATCATTGAAGTTGTATCATCAAAGCGGAGACTAGAGCATGAGCATATAGTCTATTCTAAGTAAAGATGACAGATTGCTTAGCTAAGATACTGTTCATTGATATCACGAAGAGATGCATGAGATGTACGTGAAAGCTGATTGATAGAATTGAGATGTTGATAGAATTGAGATATTTGATAGATATTGATAGAATTGAGATATTTTTAATTTCTATACAGTCGATTCGCTCTAATGAGCAAATCGCCTTCGAGCAATAGAATATCTAACGATAAGGAGAATTAAAGAAAACTGCTGAATAGAAAAAATAATGTATTAATGCATACATCTGTCGGTATGACTGTCAATATCCGAACAGAATACCGCAGAAAAAGATTTCTAAGATGTGAATAAAAGGTGTGAGAACACCGTATGGAGGCAAATACGTTCCAATGCGCAATTTCGATGCTTGATTAGGGTTGTGTTGAAACTGCTTCAATGATATGCAATTCATCATTATCATTGCCTAATTAAAATATGCATCAGAGCACATCAAAAAAACTGACATAAAAATATCAATCTTTTCCGTGGCTTTCCTTCCAAAGAAGACCGCATCCAGTGAGATTCTACCAGTCTTACAAACGCACTTGTCTAAATACTTTATATTATAAAGATTGATATAAATACAATCAAAAGATCTAATTTCATAAGTTGATTTGAGAAAGCAAAACTGAGAGGAGATCCCGATGGACCGAATCGTGCGCAAAATTCATATGTTACTGGGCAAACTTGATAATGCGGTAGCCTTGAAGGTGCCAGACCGATGTATTAATAAAATACCTATATCCCTCAACTAAATCAAATTGCTCACACCACTAAAATTTATAACATTCTGAATCTAGAGGCTCTGCTGGATGGAACGGTGAAAAAAAATTCAATATTGATGGTCATAAATCATTCGATCGAGCAGAGTCTCTGCTTTCTGAAAATGAAAATTCCGCCGAGAAATTCTGCCTTTGCGAGGAGATATAGCTATTTTTCTGATAATATAGGGGTTGCCACATTCAAGCCCACCGCTCTCTAAGCTTTGACCAGTAACATATCAATTTCTTCACACCAGTGTATCCAGCAGATTCTCTGGAATCAGAAAAATATACATATTGTAGGGCGATTCTGCTTAGTTGAGGAGATCTAGCTATTCAATAAAAGCTATCATCTAAACTAGCGCAGTGGTGCTCATTGAAATGCATTTGATCAGTGCAGATCAATAGATACTACACATTACTATAGAAATATAGTTTTGATATATTCAAGTTAACCGTCTTCTCAAATTTGCCCAGCAACATAGTAATGTTGGTACATCATTCGATTGAGCAGAATCTCGGCCTTCTAAAAATGAGAGACTGGCCGAGAAATTATGCCTCTGCAAGGAGATATAGCTATTTCCCTGATGCTATAGGCGATAACTCATTGAAACCTACCGTACTCTCAGCTTTGACCAGTAACATATCCATTTCATCATACCAATCGATCGAGCAGAATCTCTGCATTCATAAAAATATATATTTTGTTGGGCGATTTTGCTTAGTTGAGGAGCTATAGCTATTTTATTAAAGCTATCTCAACTAGCGCTGAGGTGCTCAATGATATGCATTTGAACAATACAGGTCAATTGATGTTATATCTTAGTATTGAAATATAGGTATGATACATTCAAGCCTACCATCTTCTCAGGTTTGCCTAGTAACATAGGAATTTTTGTACATCATTCGATTGAGCAGAATCTCGGCTTTCTAAAAATGGTAATCTTGCCCTGAAATTTTGCCTCTGCGAAGAGATATAGCTATTTCCCTGATGCTATAGGGGTTAGCTCATTGAAACCTACCGTACTCTTTCCTTTGAGCAGTAGCATATCAATTTCTTCACACCAATCGATCGGGCAGAATCTCTGCATTCAGAAAAATGTATATTTTGTCGGCCGATTTTGCTTAGTTGAGGAGCTATAGTTATTTTATTAAAGTTATGTCAACTAGCGCTGAGGTGCTCATTGATGTGCATTTGATCACTATAGGTCAATAGATATTACTATTGAAATATAGGTTTGATACATTCAAGCCTACCGTCTTCTCAGGTTTACTCAGTAATATAGTGATGTTCGTACATCGTTCGATTGAACAAAATCTCGGCTTTCTAACAATGCTTATTTACTCGAATTAGTTTCAGTTGAAATATCGCCTGTTCGAGAAAGTAATTGTAAATATATGCAGAGAGTTGTGGCACACTGTCTTCATGAATGCGATGGCTAACGCGTGCTCTGTGTGTTGGACCACATCCCCCTTCGTGATTGACCTAAACTGCAGGATTACCTACTGTTTAGAACATGAGTTTCTGCAGAATAGATCTCCGTCTGTTTCCATGGACTTTCTGGTCATAGTTTTGTGCATGTTTAGTTTCATGAATGTTAGAATGGTTTGTTGATGGAGTGCTTAGCAAGACGTCTGGCATTGTTTTAAAGAGCAGAAATATCTCTTCAATGTTGTACATTTTTACAGATTCGTGATGAAACCCAGTGTTGACAAACCATTTTATTGTATGCAAACAAGTAGAAGTGTAGAAAGAGATCCTTGACCCAACGTATGCAACGGAACTTGACTTAAATTCCTGTTATCTTCTGCTGAAGTCAGACCTCATTGGGTATCTGAAAGTCGGTGGCAAATTCATCAGAGTTGCTGTCGCGCTGTATGAAGTATGCTGCGCAGCTGCAGTTAAGAGTGACCGCCCTAATCAACCTAGCAAAACTTTATTGATCACTCTGAAGCCTCGTAGGAGTATGTTTTGAAGCATGAGAGTTTCAAAAAGAACGATTTCGGAAGACGGAAATTTTCAGTCTTGATTCCTCTTAGGCGGCTATTTGACGTTACTAGGTGTCCGGCTTCCAAACTCCACAGATAACTCAAACTTCAAAAGAGTTTGTTTATAAGTATTCCGGCTCCAAAAACGTATCTCTAAAATATCGAAAAAGTTTTCGGCAGCTCCGTGGGCACCTTGTCGCAGTGCGGAGACTTCAGCATTAAACTGAAAACTAACTAACGTGGTGAGTTAATTACTGTATATACGTCTGACAACAATTGCCCAATGAACTAAACGGATTTTTTAGTGATGTCTTGAATTTAATTTTGAAGCTGACGTATTTAATTTGGGGGTTCAGTTTAGTAAGAACACGTGAAAAATTTTACTGTCGTCAACTAAATTTTTTCAGTATGAATGTTGATGTTTTTGTTGTTTTTTTAAAAAGTTATTTTGTATCTGAATTTGGAATTCGGTTCAGACTCAACTTGGGATTCGGCATACGCCTAAGTGTCGAGTACGACATGGGGTTTGTGGGAGAGAGTTTTCGAGGTTCGAGAACGATCGGTGGAGTTTGGAGGGTGGGCATCTGGTACTATCAGAGAGCCATGTGAGGGAGGTCGGGGTTGAATTTTAGATTTTTCAACAAAATATTTTTTTCAATCAGCATGAAATTTGAAAGAGATTAGCTGTGTTTTAATGTTGCTTAAAGTCGGAATCTTAAACTTCAATTGAACCAATTTGATTATATTTTATGCATTGAATTTCAGAGATTCAAATATTGCAAGGTATTTTATTGTGAAGAAGATGCTTGTAGTATCATCGATATTGTAAGTGCTGTCGAGTTTGAGAACGAATAAGAAGATGATATTGAAATTGAGAAGCGAATTGATGCGTCAGCTGCGGCGTCAGGTGCGTACGTCAAGGGCGAATACAGATGCACAATTGCGTGCAGCAGAACGTGCATGTGTTCTTTCAGATGCGGCCGTTGCACGTGTTGACATTGCGCAGTTGCCAGCCAATCGACCTATCGAAGACTTTTATGCATCTGCTAAATGTCTTTCGTCCAATGCCTTTTTGTTCGGTTCGTTTCTTTCTTTTTAATTACTACTATTCGGTACTCGATTTAGTATAATAGTACTCTAACTTATTCAGTCCATCTTTCTCTAACATTCAATATTTTACGCCGATTGTATAGTTGGCTTAAACACCCTATGGTTCATGACATATTAGTCAGCGAGTGAAAAGATAGTTTACAAGAGGGACCCTTGCAGAAAACTACTATCAGTAAGAACAACTGATGCGAGGAATGTTCATCAAAACTAGTATATGGCAACTGATCTACATTTTAATGCTGAACATACTACATGTCTATAGAAAGGAAATGGTTCCCGTAATTGTACCCTAATAATATGATTGATTAAGGTGTCTTCGATGGTCATGGTGGTGCTTTATGTAGTCAGAATGTTTCAATACGTCTCTTCGATTACATTTGTGCATCCGTACTTCCGAAGCATATTGTCACTAATGTTTCATTGAATGGTCGACTTCAATGGCTCTGTTCAAGTGCTGATCATCATCTCGCTCCTGATTTTCGGTTCATTTTCTTATCGTTTTGGTTGTTTCTTCATTCAGAGTAGTTTATTAGATAATTTTAATTTGTGGCCGGGTTCCTGCCCCAGTTGTTGAATGAATATTGTTTAAACAAACATAGTCGTTTTTACTGTCGTGGTCTTGTTGGTATTGTTGACATGTCTTCATTGTTGTTGCTATCATTATCGTATCATAATTAGTCCTGTCATTAATTTAGAGAAGAGCATGAGAAAAATGTTCGAAGATTTTATCGTAAAGTGAAAAGCGACGTAGATATCACGACAGTTCGAAAGGCGCTACAAGCTGCATTCTGTGCATTGGACGAAGATATTTCTAGTGCAGCGCTTCCAAACAGTCAAGGGCATGTTTCGAGGTGGATATTCACTGTTTATATTGAATTTTTAATTGAAAACTGGATTTAGTTTTACTTTGAATTCTGCACTTGAATAGTTGATAATTTACGTCGTAGAATCCAAACGAAAGAATTAATTTTTCATCGGAGTAGGTGAAAATTTTGTTAGTAAAATGGCTTGTGTTGAATAATCGTGCAACGAATCATCAGTGTAATGCCCTTGTAGAGAGTTAGCACATGTTGCGGCATCGGGCTCTTGCGGTGTGGTCGCACATCTTCGAGAAGGTCATATCCACGTCGCGAATGTTGGCGATAGCGCAGCTGTACTTGGCGTTTGCAATCATGGCAATGTTTCAGCACGACTTTTATCGAGACCGCATTGTATTGACAACACTGATGAGGTTTCGCTCTTCTAATTGAACTACTTCTTATTTTAATGTGTCATTTAATATATCTTCGTTCAATTCAATGTAATTATGGTAGATGCATTTCTATGATTATGTTGAATTCATTCAATGTGATTTTTATTGGTTCTTCAATGTGATTTCTAATTATATTCGTACTGCGTCGTTCATTTGCGTTCAGTGTGTTCTAGTAGTATTAAGGTAAAACGACTACGCAGCGCACATCCGATAGTTGAATCGACTACAATCCTTCGTGGTGGACGACTGCTTGGTGAACTTTATCCGCTGAGAGCGTTTGGTGATGTGCGTTATAAATGGCCGGTCGAACTACAGAAGACTGTTCTTGAACCGTTCGGTGATACTCCACCCACTGGACTTTACACACCTCCTTACTTAACTGCCTTGCCTGAGGTTGGCAATGGCTTTTGTATCTATAACCATGTGTACCTGCAAAAGCTGCGCAAAGATGAAAAACGTATTTTCTGAGACAAGTTTATGCGTAGAATCGGGAAATGAACTTCTTTCCTCCGCTATGAGTACCCATAAAACAGCCTCACAAAATGACCTCATCTTTGCGTTATTTTTGCTGTTACGTATTTCAATCATTGTTGAGTCGTTCATAAGCATTAAGTCAGTAAATTTGAAGGTCATTCAAGATGGTCGTTAAATTTAAGTTGAATGTCATAATTGATAATTTTTAAAACTCGAAACTTTGTTAGGTGATAAGGTTTTTTCCTGTTTGGTTAATGATACATGGAAGTTACGTAATTACTGGGTGCTCAGAACGAGCGGCTGCAATGGTTGATTTAAGGAATGGTGTAATATCAATCGTTGATGAATTGTTTTTTGGCTGCTTGAACAATATTTAATATGTTTGTTAGAACCGAAGCAATTTTGTGCAGTTGTTTTTTCATTGAGGCAGTTCGTTTGTGTTGCATTTCGAAACAGCTGTCATGAAAGTGCAGGCATCATTATTGTAGTTTTATTAATATCAATTCGATGTTGTAGCAGTAAGTCATTTCTAATATGAGTGATTGAAACAGATTATTTGCAATAAGAATGAAATGTTTCAGGTGCTTTATCATCGACTCACTCCAAACGATCGTTTCCTCGTGTTGGCATCTGATGGCTTGTGGGAATGGCTTGAACCAGATATTGTTGTGCGTCTTATATCTGATCATGCTATTGGTGCACAAACGCTAACTGCATATCAACCAAAAGCTGGTATCAAACTCGCACAGGTTCATTCTATCTTATTCAGTTTGATCATATTGAAATTCGAGTTTTCATTAGCGACAACTCGTACTGGAATAGAATTAGTATCAAATCACCGGAATGTTTGAACTATATTTTTACAACTTTTCAGTAATTTTCTCTAACTTTAGATCATCGTTCAACGAAAGGCATTCAGTTTTGTGATGTTACAGGTGCGTGCTGAACTTAGACAGCGATTTGCGGGTGAAAGTAAGAAACCAATAGATGAGAATAGCGCAACGCATGTGTTGAGGCATGCATTAGGTGGTTGTTCGGGTGGTACCGAACTGCAGTATCGACGTCTAACGGATATGTTGCAGTTACCGGCTGGTATGGCTAGGAATTATCGTGACGATATCACCGTGATTGTAATACATTTCAATCAAAGCTATATTGAATCACTTGTTTCGACTCAGCGTTAATCATCAGTAATTTTGCTTGTCGTGTTCAGTTATCGTTAGATACATGCCATACTCAACATTTTTAAAAACTCAAATTCTTAATACTATTAATGATGTTGCAAGCAGCAGAAGTAATTTTTAAAGAATCTATCAAGAAAGTTCATTGTAAAAGTCGAAAGCTTTTGATAAAGGAAACCTTTGACCGAGAACGTAAGAAGTGTATGCGGCAGTTGTGGATATGAGAAATATTCTGCCGTTTAACGAATATAGTCTAGATGCTCCGTGGATGAAAGTGCTGTCTTGTATTAGAGGTTTTATATCGAAGTCGTCTCATTATTGCTATTCTTAATATTATTTGATTGATGTTGAGGGTACTGTTATTATTATTGTCATTTTATTTTGATATAATCAGTGTCATTGCTTAGAATATAGCAATTGCTCATTTTGATTATGGTGTGATTCAGGAGGCTTTCTCAGTGTTAGTTTCAGAAACGCTTCTGTATTGTATTTTGTTTTAACTCGTTCGATTTGCTCAAAAGATGAGTGCGTAATGAGGTTTTTTGTATAGAAGCTGAAACGTTCGCGTTGATGTTTACATATTCATTTTTGCCTGTTTTTTTAAAGTTGTCAGTACAAAGCAGAATCATCGTTTGTAACGTATAAATTGTCGTGTGCATACAATATGAGCTTACCTTTTAGCTAAACAGATCCGATTTGAGATCAATCACAAGAAGCAGTGGAAGACTTAATTTAGGATTCTGACATCTTTCAGAAGTATGGTAGAGAAAGCGGACTTTTTTTGGATTATTGTGCAACAATTCTCACTCGACGTGAATTTGTTTTCAAATACTTTTGAAGGGTACTGTTGCTAATGTGACATCTGAACCAACTGGGTCACTGTTATGAGACAGTGGCGTAATTCTTCTCAAGTTTTAACTCTTATGGATTCATCTTCCAGTTGCTTTCATACTTTTAGTCTCATTTTTGTGGCTAAAATTGTTTTCGTTCAAAGTTTGAATTGTGAATTTGATTCACAAAATTGTTTTCAGTCGGTTTTGCTCATTAAATTGTTCTGTCATCGCTAAACGGTTGAATTGTATTCTCTCACATTGAATTGCTCTTTGCACGCTCACAAATTGTCCACCGGTTAAATCTAATAATCAGTCCTTCCGATTGTTGTCGAATTTTTTGTAAGCCAAACACATCTTTGTTTTATCTCCGCATTTATGTATGTAATTTATTAGCTGAATTTTGAATAATGCATCCCTGAAATGGTAAATGAATGAATCGTTTGCAGTAGCTTTCATTTATTCAGTCTTTTTGTGTATGTGGTCGTCAGTTCAGTTTACTTTGTACGTTGCACGTTTAGTTTACTCAGTGTGGATTTTTTGGTTGCTATCAATCAGCTGTTGTTATTGATTATACGATTGGCTAAGAATGTTCCCACTGACACAGTGAATTATTTAGGATGCATTTGATTTGTTCATTAAAAAACCGTGAACAGAATAGCCAATTTCTTGTAAACAGTGCATGTTTCGATTCTTCTTTAAAGCTTCTTGTTTCTTTAATATACACTTCGTTTTCCTACTTTCAATGCGATGCCAGGCGGTTATTTTTAAAAAATTTATATTATTCTATTTCCTATCAGTCGATGAAAGTGATATCAAAATGAAGTGATGGGGTGAATTTGTCCGTTTGTTTGTTTACCTTCAGTGTTTGGAAAGGATAATACGATTTAGTGAATAATGAGATCCAGGCCGATTCGAGTGGTTAACGTATCGATTGGAAGCTTTCTTTGTGTCATGTGTTATCTCACAAGACACACCCATTATGATCAGATATGAAAAACAAAAAAATCAAAATTAAAAAAAAATAAAAATTAGAAATATCCCCACAACTTGAAAAAGTTGTGGGGAGTGAAGTTGCAGAACATTACGACTGTTTGAGTATGTTAGAAATGTATGAGAAAAAAGCTTCGGCAGCGTGCGGGGTCGAACATCCATACTTAGTGCTAGCGCACTACCCACTAGGGCAAGCCGCCGTTGCGAAACGCTAATTCAGAATCTAACTTCAATACAATGAAAATCTTTTCCCCGCCATATCTTCCGTCCCCTTTGTCCGCCACAAAAATTTTTTGCATATTCATAAACGAGCCCTACAATACGATATACATCTCACCCCCGAAACGTTAGGATAAGTTCGTGACCTTCCCTTGTTAGTGTTATTTATGTGCACGTGCACCGCTGCTGTTATTTGCCTACACCAACGGTTCTCACGCTTGGAAATAGCAACGGTCTTACAACACGGTCAAATGAAACTTTCAATTAAAAAGTAATTAATTGCACAAATGATACGAGTTGTTAGGGACTACAAAATTTCTTCCCATTGTAAAAATATCTTATTGTTAGTGAAATACAAAAACCTGAGCTGAACTGACGGAAAAGAAATTATAGAGACAGAGATGCGAGAGAGAAGCTGTGGTGGGGACAATGTTTAAACTGATGTTAACGCTGTTTTGTTGAAATGAACAGAGGCATCATCAATACAGTTGATGTGGAAACTCTGTAACCAGAAGAAAATTTCATTGAATCTTCAAAAAAAAAAAAAAAAAAAACCCATGCGCCACATCGATGAGTGACGTTCGGATGCTTACTTTCAGAAAAGGCCACAAAACATCACTTCACTTCAACGGAGGCTGTACAAATGCATGTTTTCAATGAAGGCATTAGAACTTGACCAATGCGCGGATCGGACTTCATGTTCTTGATTAGTGGGAAAGATCGAGTTCTGGCAATGCAACTACTAATTCACCGATCCATGGACGGACGGAAAGTTCGGTGACCTTCTGCTACACAGAATTTTGCCCTTCAAGCGTGGTGGTCCAAGCTACAACCATTAGGCCACCATCGTTTGGTTTCTAACACCGTCTGAAGAATGACCGAAGAACGACCGGGAATGATACGTGGAACTGTCTCACGTCTATTGCTCAAAAAATTCATTGATCAAATTTTTGACGGGCGATGGTAATGGGCAAGTGTATTGTCTGGTAACTACTTTACTCATGACTGAAAAAAATTTCGTAGAAGTCCACTTTTAACGCGAAGACAAAAGGATAACTGCATGGAGTTAATGTTTCGCTACGTAAACAACACCTTCGATATCACAGTATACAACGGAACAACGTTTAAAACTGAAAACAACCTGAGATATTTACAAACATCCAAATTATCTCTCCATTACATCTAGCATTTAGTCACAACAACTGCCAACTGGAAAGAATTACTTCAATATATTACTAAAGAGCAGCATAATTAAGTTTAAATATTTCAGCAAATTTTTTGCTAAAAAAAGTCACCACAGCAAATTTCGGAGCGTTCTCAATGATTTTAGTTGTGCTTTTAACTTGTTTGAATGGAATATAACAATACGCAGAAATTGTAAACGTTGAACAAGTCAATTATTGGGAACAGATTGAAATTTTGTGGTATATTCTTGCTCAATAAACAATCGCAACTGAAAATTGCAGCCGTCATCCGCCTCTCAATCGTCTCTTCTCTTCGTGCTAACCGCAAAAAACAACTACACGATATCCAAATATGGACGAAAGTGAAAACTTTTATACACAAAATTAGCAACAAGTGCGAATGGAATTCATCGATGAATATACAGCTAAGAACAGCACCTTCATTCTTCCATCTTTCATCTGCAATCAACAATTTTTGCCACGTCCATGACTACTATTACTTTATTTTTCGCTCATCGATTCGTCATCACCCACATATTCACTCTGAAAATGATGGAAGAAGGACAATACAGATAATAAAATTGCACTGATTTCCGCCCCACAAACCGAACTGTGAAGAAAAACATATATGGAAATGCAATGGCGATGCAGTGAAATGCTGCAAAAATTTTCCGATTATTACCTATAATAGCGAAAGCAATTAATTTCTGTCCAACAACTGGAAGATAGCAAAAACAAGACCAACCATATCGTTGAGCTGCTGCAGAAGATTGTTGTTTGCGAGCGACGCCAAGTAGACTAAATTCCTGTGCAGAAGTTGCTGGTATCGAAAAGCGTCTTTTGCCCTGGAATAGTTCACTAAATCATTTATGATACGTTGTGAACAAATCAGAAAAAATATCTGGCATTTAGAATGCGATGCCGAGATAGCTGAAGAAGAAATTCCTGATTCTCAAAATAGTAGTAAACTGGAATAAATACAACAGGAATAGAATACAATATGACACCTGAATAGGAGAAAAAACTTTTGAAATACCTGCCACTATTTTGATATCTGACAATAGCCTGAATCAACATACTATTTTGATCGAGCATTTTTTGGATAGTACTCTTACCGTTGGATCGATTATTCATCTGTGCAACACTACTGAATAATGCATTCGACATTCAAACGAGAACGATTTTAATTCAGTTTCAATTCTATTTCATTCGTTCCCCAAAATCTGGAAGATGTATAATAAATCTGATGATTTTACATGAACGCGCTACGCATATTCAGTAACTTCACTTCTTTAAGTCCTTCGCATTCCCAGTTGATGGAAATACAGCGAAAATACATTCGTTCGAGTGTTTTTCATTTCAACGCTCCTGCACCTATCGTCCAGTAAAAGCTTGTTTCGTTTTCAACTTCATCTCAATCAGACGAGAAAAGTGAACTGCCTGCCTAACGCATCCTACTATGTGACATATTTGAACCAATATGCATAGCTCGCAACCACTTTTCATAATCAGTAAAACTGAGTGATAAGAATGAAGGACTCGAAAGCGGTTTGCTGAAAATGATAAGTCAGTGACGAATGAACACATGAAGTAATTCTCGCTGTTTCCGTACTTGAGAGTATTCAGATAACCTTGCTGCAATAGATGGCCTCTTTGATTCTGTTTCCTAATTCGGAGGCACCAGCCTCTTCTCATCCCTTAATTCAGACACACAGACATCCCAGAAGCCTCCTGATAAAAAGTTATCCAACGTATAATAATTATGAGATAAGCAAAGAACGAATTGTGTACGCTTCGAGACTACTGAAACAAATAAGGAACACAAATATATTCAAATAAAGATTTTATTGATCAATAAGCATTCAGTCTAACTCTAATTTTAATGATCAATAACACATAATCAATTGAGCATCGACATTCTTACTACTTAGTGCTAATTCTTGTGCGCTTATTCCATGCAAAATTCCATCCATATGATTTCGGCTTTATACGACGTTCATGCGGTTCATCCACTTCATAGTTCCATCTGTTTTTCACGCAAAAATTGATTGCATCCTCTTTAGATGCAAAATCAAGATTCATTGAAATATTGCTGAGTGGATCACCCCTTAAAATATTTCAGTCATTCACAGATATATTACTGGATGTGATATTTTATTACACATTTCAGTGATATTTTATTTCATCACCTACAGATATATATTACTGGATGATTGATTATAAACACACTTTAGGAAGCAGAACATAAATCTCTTATTAAGATAGAACGTTTCCACTGGTTTCTGCTATTCAGGAGGTAATATGCAAGAGTCCTCCAAAACGTCAACACTGCAAAACTGTTCATAAAATTTGGGACCTATCACCATCGATCAATGCAAAGTATAAGAATGAATTGAATTTTTGGAAAAGCATCCCTCGATGAAACCATGAAAAGTGGAATAGAAGGTAATAGAAAATTTCCTACAGAACTGAGCGCATTGTTATTCATTCAAATACAGTTGCCCAAGCATACCTTTTGCTCAAGACAGGGCGGTTTCTCCTAGGAATATTCTCATTCGTATGTCTACCTGAGATTATTTGACTTCAAAGATTTGAAATTAAACAAAACGAACCGTATAGGACAACTATTTACAACCGAAATAAAATATTAGAAATGCGTGAGGAGCCAACACCTGCTATGGCGTTAAATTGAAATTTGACTGTAACTTCAGTGAGTGATACAGTTTTGGTCAGCACCACAAAATACTCTTAACGAAGAATGAAACAATAATAACTAACGTGCTCGACCAGCCCATAAGGGGATTCTCCCAGCGTTCACGATTATCCAATTCAATTTTCCACATTTTTGTGTTGTTCCATGCAGTCTGAGTAGCCTCCCGAGCTGGTTTGAAAATTCGTGCAGTGCGTTGTTCCATGTGTTCTTCTGGTACACCAGCAATATCCATCACCTCAAATAATTGAGCGTTGCGTCTTTTTGAATATCAATTTCAACTACAAATTTGGATCTGAAAATACATCATCCACCCGAGCAACTAGTGACATATTATTTGAATTACTGAGTTGTGAAAGACGAAAATTTTCCAGACGAACTTTAAAAAAAGCAAGTTCTCTCACAACATTACATTAACAATCAGTGAATAATACTCGTTCCTAAACTTCTACTGAATCCCTCTGAAAGTACAACTGGCGAATTGATCTGAACAGAAAGTTCGGAATAAAAACTCGAGATTTCTTTTCTTGATCAAATTTTGAAGTTACAATTCACAACATACATCAACAAAAACATACCTCATCGTGCTCACCAACAACGGTAACACTGGTCTTGGGCTGTGCTGGTTCCAAAACATCTTGCAATGATTTTCGTTTTGCATCATGCAATCGTGTCACTGGTACTGTCTTATCAGTGCTTGCTAAACCGCGCACAGCGATACGCAATGGTTGAACACATGCGCGTATTCCTAGCATGGAATCTGCAAAATAAAGTCAAATCTGCTTCTATGAAAACATTACGAACTGAAAAGAACGAAACTTAACCACGGACTCAACACCTGCACAGCTGATCCTGATCCAAGAACGTAAACCGCTCAGAGAGAAACCTTAGCAATACGTGACGAAGTGAGAGCGGAAAAATGGTGTGAGGCGATATTGCCAACCAATAACTTCGTATGCCTCGGCTGCAAGAGAAAACACCATATAGTAGACGCGCAATTGAAGGAGCAATCGCTTTTTGAGCAGTTCATATAAATGTTGTTTACATAATACTTCTTGGAATGGAAGAAAAGACTGAAAGAACATTCTGAACGGACTGAAAGAACATTTTGATTGGTGCAAGAATATGAATTTCGTGAAAATGCGTACTTGGTATAGCTGTAAATTTTTGAGAAACTTCCGAAAGGTATAGCCACTAAAATGCTGACTTTATTGAAAATCGCACGTTAAACAAATATGATGAGAGATGACGGCACTTTGCAGGTCTCATCGATAAGTGTCAAAACCGGCATCTGACAGGGACTTTGAAACTGTCAAGTCTATTTTCAGTGTGATAATCGTCAGACATGTTTCCTGAAAGTGTGTTCTCCAAGATGTCCTAACCTCGTGGATGTCATATGAGGAATTTCGTTATCTCACGTATACCAGGTCAGTTGTAGAATTTTGATGCTCATGTGTGCCAGTGAATTTCGGTTTATTTTGACAAGACATCACCATCGTATACGACCAAAGTATGGTGCTGCGTTCAGTGTAAGCCAACTGGAGTGTTTGGTTCTTGAAGGACAATTTGAGAGTTGGCGAATGGGTGAGTGAGCTTCGATGCCGAGCAGTCATCAAATTTTTGGTATAAAAAAGTCAGACCTATGAGTCGAGGAAAGAAGGTTTTAATCTCGATTATACAGACCGGTATGTTGGAAAGATCTTTTGACAGCACAACATTCATTCGGACATTCGTGAACAAATGAAGGGCATTGAAAACTCGATGAGTCCAACTTTGAAAATGATTCGCTTCGCTTGTGTGGTCGAGATTTTGGAACCGATAAACAACCTAATGGAATACTTAGCAGGAAGTGCTAACATACGAAAGAACTATTATCGGTTTCTGTTATATTCACTTTGCAACTACCGTATACCCCACCTCAATTCTGTACCAGCTCTGAAATATCTTCCCTCTTCTCTCACCGCTTTCGAAACTGCTTATTTCCCTCATCAATTCAGTCCTCTCTCTTATTTCGGACAATTAACAAAGCTCATACCACCTTTCTACCTTCATTGTCACTCGGCATCACATCTTCACACTTACAGCAGCTATTATTATCCGTAGCATTTGTTCCAGTTGCGGTTTGTAATCAGTTGGCTTATCGAGTTTTGGCTGATCAATTGGAGCCAGTGGTGTGGCCAGTTTTTTCCAACGGATACGTCGAAAAATGGTGGGTTGTAGTTGAGCATGTTCTTGGATGACTCCCCCCTGCGCTCAAATGCGCTTTTATGGCGAAGTGCGATGAAGCCATTAGAGGACCTCTGCTATCCGAAGGTTTCAAGAAATTATCGTGTTGTTGAGTGAATCCGAGCATGCAGATTGCTTGAAAATGCTGCACTTCATGTTTCTACTGCAGTGCAGTATTGACCAACACAGTGATTGAATGTGAAAACTTTAGCAGTCTATATAGATAGCAGATGTAGAGAGTCATATTTCGAGAGTACGTTTCAGGCACGTGTAGTATTTGCACCAAGCTTCTTTTCGTCATTCCCCATTGCAGATTGGAGTGTATTGCGAGGATCAGAAAATTTCGGGAATTTGATATTTTCCTACGGGCAGATTGTGCGGGTGGAACTGGAGAGGCAATGGGTGAATTTTGCACGAGCCACTTTCACGCGCAGCGCACTCTCAAAAGGTGATGAATCCTAATAATCGTGTACAAGCCATTTTACTCTATCACCCTCTTTTGCTGCACCCTATACTTCATTGTACTTTTCCGAAAATACCACACATGCATGCTCTTTAGGGGGTGTGAAAGGGAAAAGGTTGAGAACCATTGTCATAAAATGACACAAATCTCTCCATTAGAATATCTTGCGGTGATTTCATAATGAGAAAAAAAAACTAAGTTTCGCATTCAAAAAAATTAACCTTCTAAATTCTATCGTTGTTCTCTTCCATTCTCTCACCCACTCCCTCTCATCGACTGCTACTTTCCACCTTCTCTCGAATTACCCCATATTTACTGCTACATTGTATAAAGCTAAAATTCTCACCTCTCTATAAGACCCCTATTCTACTGACTTCTGTATAGAGATTCCTATATAACAGCGGTTTTAGTAGTGTGCCAAGACAAACAGCACTTTTCAAGCCACCAATGAATCATAGTTGCACAATGCGAAACGAAAAAGCGAATACATACACTGCAGCCGATTCCGAAGCTCGGTCAGAATCCTACGGTAGTGACGGCAACCGAGTGAAACTTCAGTCGGTCGGAATCCTACGGTAGTGACGGCAACCGAGTGAAATTTCAGTCGGTCGGAATCCAACCGACCTGACCTTTTGTCATTCCGGCAGTCGAAATTCTGACCGACCTTCCAAATTGCTCGATCGGAATCAGACCGTCGGAATTCTGAGCGAATCGTCGGATTTCTCCGATTGATGGTCGGTTGGATGCCATTACTAACACAAAGTAGAGCCACATACTGTAACCAAATGGTATATTACATGACCACTTTGACACCATGAACAATTTTTTTACAGTCACATTTATGCAGTCTTCACTCCACGCCATTATTATTCCATAAACACTTTATTCAAACTACATTTTCTATAAATCTGAATACAAATACGTATGCTCAGTTTTGTAACAAAATCTTAGAGATTTGTGGATTTTTTGAAGAACCGAATTTGAAGAAGAACCGAATGTGAACCGAATGTTCAAGAAGAACCGAATGTTCAACTTTGAAGAACCGAATGTGTGGTCACATAAAAACACATACTTTTATGACCACTCATTGCGTGTTTCATGAGTTGCAAATTTCCATCCGAGGAGAGTTCATTCCTCCATCAAATGAGGATTTGGTGAGAGAATGCGATGTTAAATTTTAGATGCTTGCTCATGCTGTGCCTGATTTGAATCATCCAGAATCAACAAATTGCGTGATGTTTATTCAGCATCCAAATAAACAATAAAAAATGAGAGAAAAACTACAATATAATCAAAACAATATTCAGGAGAAACCTC